TTAAATGAACAAACTGAAGAGAGAAACTGATTGGTTGCCATGCATAGCTGCACCAGATTTTCTCTGCTCCAGTTTTGACAAATTCCCCTCATTGCATCATGTGAGGGGAACAAAGCCCTGAATAGCAGGAGAATCCAAATAAAAAAAAAAATAAAAAAGCTTTGGTTGGGCATACAATTTTATGCACTAAAAATAAATTCATTTACCACATTGTGAAAAAAGTGATCTGTAAAGCCCAGTTCAATTCGCACACTTTTTTCCTTTAAAGTCATGTGATTTCCTATAACTTTAAACTGAATTTTGCTTAAAAATGCCTTCAAATACCTTTCTTGCTTAGTGAAGATGCAATTCCTACCCTCCTGCTCCAGTGTCCTCCACTATGCAGGGACAGATGATTTACAGCCACATTCATCATCATGAGTATCCTCACACAGTGCTGAGGAGAAGTAGAGGTGTCTGACCAGGTCTGATAGATTAGAGCGCACGGGCAGTCATATTTAAACACACAGCACACCTGACATATCAAGAAAATGGAGGTTCCCAGTACAATGTCTGTCTAAAAATGAAACATATCATCCAAACCTAACCCATAACCTCAGCCTAATACAAAATATCGCATTCCCTGTTAAAGCAGAATAATTCTTTTCTTTCTTTCTGGCAGCTGCTGATTGATGTTAGAAATCATCTTTATTCTCAATGGCGACAATGTAGAAAATTATAAACAGCACCCACCTCTATACAGCCAAGTCATAAAAACCATAAAATACAATTCCATTTTTTTATCACCACAAAGTAAAAGTAAGCAAATTCAATATATGCTTCAAGCTACACTTCGGGCAACCAGCTATATATACAGATGAAGTACATAGATGAGTACTGCATTTCCTGCCAAAGGATTTGTATTTCTGTCTATATACTTAGCTTTGACAGTGCAGCCCTGTCTGGCAGGGCAGGAGACCAGATATTTCTGTGCTGCAGTCACGTCACGCTCAGAGGTCTTGTCCCTCCCCAAGTGGTGACTGGATAGTGAAGGTGAAGCAGAATGATGATCTAATGTCTTTGTTACTCTGGTCTCTCCTTCTATCAGTATGCTCCTTGTTAGCACACTGCAATACAATTGAAGGGCTTCTTGTTTTGCTACTCCCTATTTCAGTGTTAATGTTGGTGTACAGGAATTGCAAGAGGCTGACACCAAGTCAAATTCAGGTACTGACATTGTTTTTCTTTAAAATAATAGTAATAATCATGTTATTTAACAATACACTACATTCATTTTTGTATTTTTCTACCTGCCAGTTAATCAAGGGGGGGAAGACCACCTACTTGCCCTCCATAGAAGGGGCAGGTAAGTGGTACATAAGCCCCCCCCCCACCCCCCCCTCCCACACACCTACCAGGATGCCCAGGCTGGTATTCGCAAAATGGGGACACAGGGGGTTTATTATAAAAGATTAGAAAATAACAAAAAAAAGAAACTTCTGCTGGTAGTAGCCCATGCTTCTGAAATGCTTCTGAAACTGTATAAATACATGGGGGGCCCCATGTATTTATACAGTTTCAGAAGCATGGAGAGTTATTGTAAACAGATTTACCTGCAGGCTACATGCAGCCAATCCTTGGTGAATTTGCCAATATGCTTTGGATCATTATCATGTTAAAAAAAAAAAATTCCACTTTCATTTCAATTTTCCGACAGATGACATCATATTCTCATAAAGCAAACTTTGATATGATGCAGAATTCATAGTTGACATAGCTGCCTGGGCCCTAGAGCAGCAATGCAACCCCAATCCATAACATTTCCACCACCATGCTTCATAGTTGGTATGAGATTCTTTTTCTGAAATGCTGTCTTTGGTTTGTGCCAAACATAATTACTGTGGCCAAACAGCTGTGGCCAAGCAACCTAACTTTGATTAATCAGTCCATAGCACATTATTTCAGAAGGCCTCATCTTTGCCTATTTGTTGAATTTCAGACTGCGGTCTTGCTCTAATGTTCTTTTTGGACAACAAAAGCTTTTTCCCGGGACTCCTGCCATCCAGGTTAAATTGGTGCAATATCTTGTGGACTGTAGACCCATGCACTTTTACACTAACTGCTGCAGATCCCAGGATAAAATTATAGGGTTCATGGAGACTTCCTTTCACATTCAAGTGAGTCAGCTTTTGAGCTGAATTTGCTGGGCTGGCCAGTCCTGGACAAGTTAGCAGTCATTTGAAATCTATGTTAAGCTGGCCATACACCTTACAATTATCTGCAGATTTTCTGTGGTCAGATGGAAAAGGTGGAACAGATTCCTCCATCTACACTTAACTGTGTGGGTGTAGGAATCTTCCACTGGGCCAAGCTTCAGTATCTTTCTAGTCGGCCCCGCTGGCTCTCAAAACACCTGAACAATGCCTGCATTCAATCAGATTGTTCAGGTATTTTGGGAGCCAGCGGGGCCGACTAGTAGATACTGAAGCTTGGCCCAGGTGGAGATTACTCCATCCACACAGTTAAGTGTGGATGGAGGAATCTGTTCCACCTTTTTCATCTGACCATAGAAAATCTGCAGATAATTGTAAGGTGTATGGCCAGCTTTACTTGCTGATTATTGGTGGTCTTTCTAAATCCTTTGCCAGACTAATGGGCATCCACAACCTTCTTTCTGAAGGCCTTAGAGAGCTTTGAATCTTGACATGATGGCACCATACATAGCAAAGAGAACACTATAACTTAGATATCTGAGGTTTAAATAAGACAGATTCCACTGTAACAAATCATGGACCATAAGGCCTCATTCACACTGCCCCGCATATACGCGCGTACGTGCGTATTGTACCATATGCAAAGAAATGGCTCCATACACATAGCCACGTATGGAGCCGTTTATTTGCGTAGCGTATGTATGCGCAAAAACAGAATGGAACCCAGATGCGTCCGGGCACCGTATTTCTGCTTATTTTTACGCACATACGCATGTTTGCGCATTTATACGCGCATATATGCGTACAGTTAATACAAATTTCCATTAGGAATGATGCATTCTGGGAATGCAAATAGTGCACGCATATACGCACATACGCTCGTATATACGCGCATAGAGGCAATATACAATTTTGCTTGCGTTGTGTGTGAATGAGGCCTAAACGTTATATATATATATGTATAAACACTGCCTGTCCAAAAAAAGTCACACACTCTAATATTTAATTGGACCGCCTTTAGCTTTGATTATGGCACTCATTCGCTGTGGCATCATTAAGCTTATCCAGTGTCACAACATTTATTTCCATCCAGAGTTGCTTTCATTTTTCACCAAGATTTTGTAGGGATGATGGGAGAGTCGGACAACTGCCTAAAGTCTTCTCCAGCACATCCCAAAGATTCTTAATGGGGGTAAGGTCTGGACTCCATAGTGGCCAATCCATGTGTGAAAATGATGTCTCATGCTCCCTGAACCACTTTTTCACAATTTGAGCCCGATGAATCCTGGCATTGTCATCTTGGAATATGTCCATGCCATTAGGGAAGAAAAAATCCAATGATGGGTAAACCTGGTTATTCAGTCTATTCAAGTAGGCAGCTGACCTCATTTTTTTGGGCACATAATGTTTCTGAACCTAGACCTATTATCCAATGGAAGGCTCTTACCTATTTGCTTGGCTTAATCCAGGTGGTGACTTTTGGACAGGCAGTGTATATGCTGTATATATATATTTATTCATGTTTATACGGTAAATGAGTTGGCTAACCACTGGCAGAAGTACTATATGTTATGCAATAAAATGTAATGAACCAGCCAGCCACATATTAAGAATGTGCCCTGATCCCAAAACATATATGTTTTGCTATTCTTTCCTGTTTTAGATTCGAATTTCTATCTTTCCTCAATAGTACGCTAAATCCAATTTCCACGCATTACAATTAGGATCTCCCTTTTGTCTCTAAGAGCAGGTGTGTTGGTGTGATCAGTTACTGGCATAACAGCACTGTTGTCTCCTTGAGGTCAGGTTGTTTTGATATACTAAGATTGCCAATTGACTGTGCTTAACAAACATTCATACATATAATTGCCAAAGACAGGATGGCTCTGGGCATCAAGGATAGATTGGGTAGTTATCGTATCAAAGAGGCTTCATTTACCATCTAATAACTTTCTTCAGAAAGATATCATTGTGGGCTTTGGAACAATCATGGATTCCTCATGATAATGTGAGTAACTAGTTTAAGGAACAGGAGGCCTGCCCATCATGGACAGGCAGATCGTACTTGCGATCATCGCAAGTCCTCCCCTCGGAGGGGAGGGCTTGCAGATGATTGCAATGGTGAGCATGCAGTGTGCGCCTCGGGCTGTGCGGCTTTTGTCTCGCGATCGCGCTACCAACCCGCCCAAAATCGTGCGATTTTCGCCGGATTTTCTAGCGTGCTCGTTATATGAAAATCGTATGACCGTACAGTAAATGCGGTCGCACGCTGCCCATCCAACCTTACGATTATCGGGGATCACCCGCGATTATCGTACAATAATCGTCAGGTGTATGGGCACTTTTAGTGGGACCTTTAATCATTATTTCCTAGTCTAGTGAAGACAAATAGTGATTTTTCAACCCTCTTACCACTGCAATAAGTCACGTGGCCGCTTTGAGTAGGTCGCATATGTTACAGCCATCGTAAGGGGTGTCCACTCTCCTTACCACATGATTGGAAATTAAGTCAGAATCTATGGCATGGAGATTTTGTTAATGGTGTGTTCAATACATAAGAATGCAGAGGCTTCCATATTTTTATTACCGTTATGTACGGAGTTGTTTGCTTTACTTTCAGTCTTGTAAATTCCAGCCTTACCCTCAGTCTTGCACAGTTGTATAAGCCTCTCTGCTGTACTGAAATTGCTTACACTGATTTCAAAGCACACTGTGAGCTTCTGTTACTTGGCAGTTGAAATTTGTCTTTCTGAATGTGTTATTTGTAGTTGTATGTACATCACAAATAACCAGAGAGTGATAGTCTAGCTCTTTTTGCAGGTTACACCACAGAAAGGTGTCTGTGGGAGAAGGCAAAATGGAAACCCCAGATGGACCGTGGGCATGGTTGGTGCTGGTGGCTTCTATGATGACCTACGCGTTGACTTTAGGATTTTCTGCTTCTGTTGGAGTATTTTATACAGACCTCCAGAACTCTTTCAGTGCTACCAACACAGAGACCTCCTGGTTTCCATCAATCATCACAGCTGTCCTGCATGCTGGAGGTTAGTATGCCCTCTGCATTGACATAAATAGTAATAGTCATTGATTTACTCCTTCACACAATGTTCTCATATTTGTTAAAAGACAAGCAAACCAATAACATAAGTTGACTCATGCTAGCCATGCAAGCAATAAATAGATGCTCCACCACTATTTGTCAAACTGTCTGAAGCAACTGGTTGTAGAAAGGGAATGAAAGGAAAGTCTAATTGCTTGTTGTCAGCAAACAAAACACTGAACTGGACTCTCGTGACTTCTTGTTTGGATCAAGTAGCTGGTATTTCATCATCAGTCTACTGCAGGGGTAGACAACCTGAACGTGCAATTCCCATCATGCCTCTACCTCTGGAAGTCATGCCTGTGGCTGCCAAAGTCTTGCAATGCCTCATGGGATTTGTAGTTCAACAACATACGGAAGGCCGCGGTTGCCTACCCCTAGTCTACTGTATGTTTATAAGAGTTGGTAATTATATATGGTAATAGTAGATTCTAGAATTTCGCTTTGGTACAGGTAAAGGTCCCAGTGTGAAATAGAAATGGAGCTCCTTAGTGTCCCCTCTTTACTTTTCATTGGACAGTGCTGACTTGCGATGACTTCAATGAGGGTCGGGCTTCCGATGACTGCAAACGGGCAGTGTGCGCGTGCGCACACCGGCCCGTTCGGCAGTTGTCGATCAAGCAGGCCACTAACTCGCCGAGAATCGTACGATTTCCGGCAGGGTTTTCCAGCCTGCTTGTTCGATGGAAGACGTGCGACCGTACAGTAGAAACAGTTGCATGCCTTCCATACACTGCACGATTATCGTACGATCGTGAGTGTATGGGCACCTTTAAACCCTCAGTCTCCTGGTAGGACTTTCTCTTTAAGGTTTACTGGGATTCAATCGTGCTGTCAGCTTCAGACAAGTACTTAGGAATAAAGAGTCACACCAAGTTGTGTATTTACTCTATATTCCAGGGTTTATTGTTAAAACAAAAAGTTATATGTGAAACTAAAAGGGGGATGGCGGAGCATAAACCAATTAAAACCATGCACGTATACAAAACTACAGGACTACTCATAATATTAAGGATCATGAGACAACCTTGGAGGGGATTTATAAAGTACACAGCAAGAAGACAAAAACAGAGATAAGAGATACAATTTGCAGTCAAACATTTTAGAAATGGAATATACTAAAAAACACAGACATTAACTATGTATAAAGCTGGCCATACACCTTACAACCATCGCACGACTTTCATCGTGCAATGGTTGTAAGGTAATTAAAAGCTCGTACGATTTGCCCATCTTGGACAGGCAGATCGTACTTGCGATCATCGGAAGCCCGCCTCGCTGAGGGGAGGGCTTCCGATGACTGCAATGCTGAGAGGGCAGTGGCCCGCTCGGCATTTGTCTTCCAAGAACGCCACTAACCCGCCGAAAATCCTAAGATTTTCGGCAGGTTTTCCAGCATGATCGGAAGCCAAAAGACGTGCGACTGTACAGTAGAAACGGTCGCACGCCTTCCATACACCTGCCGATTATCGTATGATCGCGGGATAATCGGCAGGTGTATGGGCACCTTAACCCAGAAACAGGCCAATTAAATTAATCACCCTTCCAATCCCTCCTTTTATCCCAAGGGGATAACACTATTGAACATTTCCTTTAGATTGGCGAAGTGTAGTAATGGGGATCATTGGAAAAGAGTGCTGTGGTTTGGATAGTTTAAAAGATCGTATAATTTTCAGTAAATTAGGGATACTTTGCAAACAACAGCAAAGCCCAACTAAACCACAAACAGCTATAAATAATTCTCCAATAATTTGCCTCAAACTCCACATATCAGGTAACCACCCAAAAAAACAATCCCACCAGCTACCAGAAACATCCTGTTGAATCCCTGATGCTAACTTATGTAAAGCTTTGATATGTGACTGGATAGAAGTAGCATGATCAGTTAGATTTAAACAACACATACCCTCAAAATGTTTGCTTAAGATTCTGGAATGCAAAACGATTGAAAAGGTTACAGAAAGTTGTTCTAGTTAGAAGAAAATACAAAAACAACCACTTATAAAAAAGCAAGATGGGTAAAAAAAAGAATTTACATGTATGTTTGTTCTTATGTTCTTACACAACTCTCCCCTTTGTTCATTTATAAACACACCATGTCCATAAGTCCAAGGTACTTCCATATTGAAGAAATGTCTGGCATGTCTCCTCAACTGGGGCTCTCCTGACATTCTTGCCCCAGCAGGAGTTCCATTCTCTTGGAAAAGAGTTTCTTAGAGCTTAGTTTCATAGGTGGGTGTTCCTTCAGTAAGATGGGAGTAGAGTCCTGTAGGTTCTTTGACTTGCATATCCAAAATAACAGGCACATAGCTATTTTAACTGCTAAGTAAAGAAATAAAATGAGCAACAATACCATAAAGATTTAAGTGCATTCTTTTTAAAACATCCAGTATTCCACTAAACAAAATCTCCTAACAATCTCAATCCAGTTATGTAAGCAGAGAACTAAGCATGAGTTTAATGACCACATATAAACTATCCACTTAAATGAAGGGAAAACATTACATTTTGGCATCATATACTATCTTTAGGGGAACATAAAAAATTCAGGCAGACTAGGGGAGCAAATGTGTGGTGTACCACCTTCAGGCTTACTAGTTTATTCTTTCTCTGTAATATTATATACACCTTGGATTTGACTTTCATTGAGACTAGAAAACCTAGAGGGAACTGCTATCTTTGGGATCAGACCTATGTGCGAGTATAAGTGTAAACACACCCAACACTTACTAACATTATTGCTTTTTTTCTAATTGGCCATTTTAGATTATGGATGCGGTCTACTTCTTTCCCACACTTTAATTTATACATACATTCACATCCCCAATATACACAAAATGATGGTAACATACTGTATATTGATTTGCCTATTTGTCATAAAAATCAAAGAAAAAATGATTTGACTCTTCTCTTCAAATTTTGCAACAATCAATTCAAAGGTTTATACAATGGCTAGAGTGTCTTGAACCCAACCTGCCTTTAAGCTTGACTACTGTTTAGGTCATCAGTAGAACTTTGGACTGACCTTCAAATTTTTCTCCAAAGCTTTTTCATCAGTTCCTCACAGGTCTCTAAGCTTTAATCACTGAGTACCTAAAACACAGGAAGGGTCTGGGATGGAAGAATACATTAGCCAAAGGCTGAGAGCATGTTAACAAACACACCAAAACATACCAATAGGATCCACACTTGGGTAACTAAATGTAATTTATCTGGAACCTCTGAAAGGCGTACTGAGGCTTAGGAGAGTGTCTCAAAGGGACAGTCACTACTCTTTCTGGATTGTCCCGGTTACAAGTCAGGCAGGACACACGGAATCGGACAGCAAAGGTAGCAAACTCTAGGGCTATCCATAGCTTACCTATACAGGTGGTCATTGCATCGTTCAACAAGTGGCCCAGTCCATGCGCGGCTGAAATCAGCCGTATTGAACCGGAGTGAATAGCCAAAGGTCGTTCAGCTTACTTCACTTCGGCTGTGTTATTCAATCGGCTGCCTTCGGCAGCTTTGTGAGTAACCCCCAAAGTCTCAACATTTCAATATATCAAGGTATTTCATGGTAATGGGAACATTAGAACATTCACAAATCCCTTTTCATTTTACTGTTTATATTTATACCCAAAAAATGAACTTCTCTTATTTGGTTCCTTGTGTTGAAGTAGAACTCCAGGGATGCCCTTTAACCTCCCTGGCGGTATTCCCGAGTCTGGCTCGGGGGTTAATTTTCAATACCAGGAGCGGTAACCCCGAGCCAGACTCGGGAATGCACAGAAAAGTGACACTTACCTTGTCCCTGCGAGCCTGCGGTGTCCTCTGCTGTACGCGGCCCGAAAACGAAACGTCAGATGCTGGCATCGGCATCTGACTTTTAGTTTCGTTTTCGGGCGTCACAGCCTGCGGGAAATTCAAAAAACTTGCATCAGTCCAGGCTGGCTCAATATAAGTATCCATCTCTGATCTCCAGAGGGCCACTCGGGATGCTGAAAAATCTGACCTGATCTTCCAACTGAGACTTCAACGGCTTGTGTTCTGCACATCATTCAGAAAACACCTCGTATTGTTTTCAATGAATATAAGGAGTTCTCGGGGCGAGATGGGGAGGAGTAGTGAATTACATCACAATCTTCACCTTGTCCAATCATGGAGACAGCAATAAAAACTTGACAGAGAGTTTAAGTCCTCCCAACCATATACAAAACTAAAAAGAAAGGTTTGGCCTTTACATACACTTTAAGAAATGCCCCCCCCCCCCCATCCCAATGCTTCACTCTAATTTAAAGACATAGTCCATCTTTTACAAAAAAAAAATTATAAGTGCACTTACATTGATGAAGGAGAAAATGTACTTTTATTTTTTATTTTTTTCCGCATTTGAGCCATCAAAGTATTGCAACTGTGATCAGTTGCAATGCTCAGCCTCCTGCAGACTATTCCCTCAGTTATGGGGCTGGAGGAAGTAATCAATTAATTAGAAGTGTGGCTCCACTGAGATCTACAAGTTCACCTGCCACTGTGACAGATGGGACTTGTAGGCTTTCCATTCACAGATCTTATGAATGGATCTGTGAATGAATGGCGTGGCTGTGAGTCATTCAATGAATACAGAATCTTGCAGGGAGAAAATTGTAGCAATTCAGGTAAGTGGAAGTAGGGGCAGTTTGAGGTGGGGGTAGGGTAAAGTGACCGTGTTTCATGTAACACCCTAAATATCGGTGTAACATGAAACATGGTGCAAAAGGTGGAATATTCTTTTAGCTTTTATAAAAAAATACCCTACACATATCGTTTTTTCCCTGCATTCTTCAGGCTGATATGTATTGAAGATAAACATTGGAGCAAACACTGTTTTTCATATTTACATTTACAGGGCAGCATTTTTTAAGAAAGACAATCCTGAAATTCTACTTTAACTTCTCAATTCCATAAGAGATGCTCAAGTCTTCAATATATATGGAATAGAAAATGATTTCACATCATTTATCAGACTATTTTACCTTTACCTTGAAGGACAACTCTGGAACAATTAACACAATTCTCTTTGGTTATTTGAATATAATATATAACTGTATTGCAACATTTTGAGCATAACATTTATTAGGAAAGAGTTCAAGAGATTTCAATCAGAATATACCAGTGAATGGAAAATGTACGTAATTCTAATATTTACCCTTCTCTACAGGCCCATTGTGTAGCCTAATGGTGGAAAGATTTGGCTGCAGGATAACAGTCATAGTCGGTGGCCTCCTTTGTGGAACTGGATTAGTTGCCAGCTCCTTCTCTCAGAATTTGATACACTTGTATCTGACTGCAGGTTTTGTTGGAGGTGAGTAGATTTTTGGTCTTTCTTATAAAAGTGTCAAATATTCAAGTACCAGGAACACAAGCACAGCCTTTGTAGGAACCCGTCTGTGAATAGGGTGCTACCTGCTCAATGTATGTGCTGTCCTCGATAACAGTACACGATGTCTTTGATAACAGGCCATGTCAGTAACCATATATGCTGTTCTCTTTACCAGTCTATACCAGGCTTTCTCAATCAGGGTTCTGTGAGCAGTATGGTTCCTTCAGAGGTTGCTAGGGGTTCCTTAAAAAATGAGCAATGAGATATTGATCTCCCACTACAATGACTACCAATGTAGGGAGGAAATTTCCCACTGAAATGCAATTTAAGGGGTCTTTTCTATGCTGATTACCAGCTGATCTCCATTGACCACAAATGTAAAGAGGAATTTCTCCACGACCACAAATATAATGGGGTATTTCTCCAATGACCATAAATGTAAAGAGGAATTTCTCCACGACCACAAATATAATGGGGTATTTCTCCAATGACCACAAATGTAAAGAGGAATTTCTCCACGACCACAAATATAATGGGGTATTTCTCCAATGACCATAAATGTAAAGAGGAATTTCTCCACGACCACAAATATAATGGGGTATTTCTCCAATAACCACAAATGTAAAGAGGCATTTCTCTATCGGCCACAAATATTTATCCACCGACCACTAATGTAAAGAGGCATTTCTCCAATGACCACTAATGTAAAGAGGCAATTTTCAACTGACCACAAACATAATGGGGTATTTCTCCAATGACCACAAATGTAAAGAGGCATTTCTCCGCTGGCCACACATCTCCCCTGACCACCAGTATAAAGAGGCATTTCTCCACCGACCACAAATGTAGGGGACACTTTTCCACTGACCTGTGTAGGGGAACCCTACAAGTTTCAGAGTATTTGTATTCTTTTCTGGCCATTTATTATTCATTTTCATGATTATTATCGACATACGGAATAGGGGGGCATTGTAAAATAATCAGCTCTGGGTGTCAAATATTCTTGGTGTGCCAGATTTTTTAATCCTTCATTTAAAACTTGCAACAGCTTACTTATTGTGGTATTTTGCCATAAGATGTAGATGTAATAATTTTTAGCAGAGGTTCCCCGAGACCTCAAAAGGATCTTAAGGGTTCCCCTAGGATAAAAAGGTTGGGAAAGGTTGATCTATACTGTGCTCCACAACAGACCATGCTGTGGTTGATAACAGTACATTCCATCCTAGATAACATTCTATATATTCAGTAGCCATGTATACTGTGCTTGAGGGCCGGTGCACACCTAGGCGATTCCACATGACTACTCATGTGGAATAAACGGATACCTCTTCTTCTAGATGTTTTTTTATAATGTTATCATGATCTTCAATTCTGGTTTTTCAGGTTTGCGCACGCCTTTCTCAAGGAGCTTTACTGTGTTATAAATGCTGCCCTCTTCCCTGCTCCTGGCTTTATATGTCACGGAGTCTGCAGTTATTGTTTGAAACATGTATTCCACCAGATGAAATGTGTGCGTGTTTTATGTTGTTTATGTCTACAGATTTACAGTATACTGGTCTTCCTTGTTAATTTATTTTAAAAGCTTTCGGGCATCTCCAATAATAACCCTACCATAGTTATTAAGAATAGTTGAACCTTAATTCTTTTTTTTTTTTAAATGATGCGTTTATTAGCATACAGTCAAACAGATATTTGAATACAGATCATTGGCAAAACATTACATCGTAGTCATAACTTCAATCCAAAGGAGCCATACATGTCTCTCGTTAAAAAAATAAAAGAAGAAAATTCTAGGCCATGGTATCTGAGCAGGGCCGTCCTTAACGCAGGGCAAAGAGGGCACTTGCCCCGGGCCCAATAAAGGTTGTGGGGCCCGAAGCATCTGCCCCTTGAGCCCGCTGCCCGCAGATATATCCCGTGACCCCCGATGGGACGCACCCCCTTAATTCTTTAAAGGAGGTGTTTGCACATTTTTTATTGAGTTCATACTTTTCAGTTATTATTAGATATATTTGATATGATTTTGGAAAACAGGGCTTGTGCTCTGTTTAGACAGCAGAGGTTGCATGTACACACAAACTATTTTCCTGCATGGCTGCTGTTGACATTTTTTGCACCTACAGTAGATTTATTTATTACAGTTATTTATATAGTGCCAACAATTTATGCAGCACTTTACATACTGCACATTCACATCAGTCCCTGCCTTCAAGATGCTTACAATCTAAGGTCCCTATCTCACATGCATACACACAGGGCCAACTCAGACAGGAGCCAATTAACCTACCAGCATGTCTTTTGGAGTGTGGTAGGAAACCAGAGTACCTGGAGGAGACCCATACAAGCACAGGGAGAGCATGCCAACTTCTTGCAAATGGTGGTCTGACCAGGATATGAACCAGGGACCTCCAGTGCTGCAAGGCAGAAGCGCTAACCACTACGCCTCTGTGCTGCTCGTATGGTAATAAAACTCGGCACAGAGTGCACTTAATGGGCCAGTGAATTCTATAAGAAAGTGACCCAAACATTGGAAGCTAGAAACGATCCTGTATGCCACACTCATAAAGTAGATGCAAACCCTAACTGGATGACATTAAGTTTGCTAAAGCATTGTGTATCAAAAACAGTTGCCATTGTTTTTTCATATCATATTATTTTCACATTTTGTTCATTTTTGTTGCATATCAACACTGCTGATCTCCTGCAGCAACTGGCGCATAACATTTTTCAGAGCAGGTTTCCTGAAGGTGACAGCAGTGGACCATGCCTGTGCAATGTGTGTCAGCACGACAGTTTTGTAGACTCTTTTGAAAGAGCATATGTCACCCTATGACAGGTGGTGCCTACAAAAGGACCTTTGTTGCAGGATCACCAGGTATTATTTTAAAGCTGAAGTGTGGCCAAAAACATTATTGGGACATTAGCTAGATACCTCTGACGATGTGTGTTCCACTAGAGGCTGCTACTTTTTCTTGAAAAATCTTATGCACCCTCTTTTGATGCCACCACTGAAGCTCCATCAATGACACTGACAATTGGGGTTTAAGCACAGCGATCAGTGTGTCACTCACTGTGCAGCTCCTCCATACCTAAAAAGTCTTGTATTCTATTCAAAGAACACAAGGCATTCTTTGATTGAACAATTGTCACATTGTGACGTTCATACGCCCGTTGTCCAATCACAGGATACAGTCCGTGTACCCATCGCATTCAGAGCCGCTGCTCCAAAAATGGAGGGTGGGTGCAGCAGGTGTCAGCGAGTGGCTTCCAACAAAATATCAGTAAAGGATGGACACCGGCACTCCAAAGCAAGTCATCACTTGTTTGCCTGATGAAGGGGATCCTGTGAAAACCAAAACGTTGTATAGAGTGTTCTACTTGCAACAAGTACGTTAATAAACACGTACTGAACTTGCTTTGGAGTGCCGGTGTCCATCCTTTACTGATATTGTCCAATCACAGAACACCTTGTAAACTTTGAAAAGAATATAAAATATTTTCTGCATGGTGGAGCTGCAGAGAGAGCGACCCAATTTGATCGCCGTTCTACAACCCCAACAGTCAGTTTCACCTCCAAAATGTCAGCTGTGATAACACATCAGCTATCAAAGGCTAACATTTGACAAGAAAGAAGAAGCCACCCATGGGGCACACATCATTAGCGGTACCATATGGGTGCCTAGCTAATGCCCCAATAAAGTGTTAGCCCACACTTCAGCTTTATTGAAAGCAGTAGATTTAATAATGATGGAAAATTACTTTTGAAACTACGTCAACATGTTAAAGCTTATATGAGATTTTAGTGATTGTCTATATCTACATTAAACCAGTTCAACTTCAACATACCACAGGAATAGTTGTTTCACACCAGTGATTTCCAGTTAGAATATAATATAAATACGTTTACACACCTATTAATAGAGTCTTTAAAGTGAAGGTAAAAGCTTTACTTCAACCAATTCTAAAGCCCACGTTGTTTATCACTATTTATCCTTTTTTTATATTGCGTACATAAAAAAAGAAGTCCAAATACCTGGTGATTTGGCCAGTCTCCTGTTTGCTGCCCTGCTTCCTCTTCTTTCCTGTCAATTCTGTTGGGGTTTCAGACTTGTAATAGTGCTGACAGTCATGCCCAGTACCACTTGCAATGGGAATAGCAGGGTGACACGCAAAAGCACAGCGAGCCTGAAGTCCTGTATTTACCCTGTGACATCACATGCTGACACATATATAGTGCTAACCAGTGGCAGAACTACCAGGGTCGCAGAGGTCGCAGCCGCGACCGGGCCCTGGAGTTCCACCACTTAGAGTTCCACCACCAGGACAGGAGGACGGGGCCCGTTGTAACCGCTGATTACCAGGATATTTAATATCCCGGTAACCGCTAATACCGTAACCGGGACCTCTTCCTGCTGTCCTGGGCCCTGCATGCTTCACGCTGCTCCCCTCACCTTGTTCCGGGCGCGCACCAGCCAATGAGTGGGAAGCGGGTTATCCCCGCCCCCTCATCACACAGAACGGCTGCCGACCGTAGAACTGCCAGTGTTCTATGAAAAGCTGCTGACACGAAGAGGGAGTTATAGGGAGCTGAGATTATGAAGGGGACATGTGAGAGGAGAGTGTGAGGTCAGGGAGCTGAAAGCTGGGGTCGAGAAGGGGGGAAGCTGGGGACAAGAAGGGGAGAAGCTGGTGACATGGAAGAGGAGGGGGTTTGGTTTTAATTTTTTTTTTTTGTCTGAATTTTTTTTTTTAAGTATCTAATATTTTTCTTGGGGGGGGGGACCCTTCATGGATTCTTGCACCGGGGCCCTGAGGTCACTAGTTACGCCTCTGATGCTAACAATGCGAACAGTGAATGGCAATGGAACACTGTATGCCTATCTACGGCATGGAGACGAGGGGCTGTCTCCATGAAGCCAAATAGCCCCTTTAATATGTTACAGCGGAAGAAGCTGTCAATTGTCACAAGCAATCTCCAGTCTCACCCCTACACAGTCCTAAATGGCCTATATATATAATATATTGTGTTGTCCATGATTATTGCATTTTTATAGAGCCATGTTTAGGGTATTTTTTAGGATTTTAGATGTTTGTCTGATCTGTATTTATGGTGTTTGCAGTTTTTAGAATAAAACTATTTTCATTGAACATAAATTGATATTCACTATCATTCTATGTTGGGATTTTTGTTAAAGGGGAAATAGACTTTTGAAAAATTCATACTTGATACCGAAAAACCCAGTATCAGTGCATCCCTAGATGTAATGGTCAGGTGTGCTCAAACCTTTAGCCATATTAGCCATTATTGCTGCATTCCATTGCCCAACTGCTAACATAAGTTGTCTCATTTTTCAATTCCTTTTAGGTGTAGGACTCTCTCTTAGCTTTCAAGCAGCAGTCACGGTGCTCGGTTACTACTTTATCAAGCGACGAACGTTAGCTAATGCTATTGCCTCCTCAGGAGCCTCCATAGGCATGGCTCTATGGCCACTGGCATCCCGGTACCTCCTAGAGACAATGGGTTGGAGAGGTTCCTTTATGATTTTTGGTGGTGTATTGCTAAACTGTTGCGTATGTGGAGCCGTGATGAGGCCAGTGAAAACTCCACCATCTGCCCCTGGTAAAGATGTGTCTTCTTCAGTCCACAATGGAACATCTGGTGCTGTAATGGAATTAGAACAGCGAAAAGGAATACAGAGGTACATAGCTTTTGACCTACTGCTTGGACACAGAAGATACCAGATTTACACAATAGGTGTTGCATGGATGGTTCTAGGCTTTGTCTTGCCACTGTTTTACTTGGTACCATATGCAACCACCAGTGGCATAGAAGAAACCACTGCAGCACTCTTGCTTTCTCTTATTGGTTTTATCAATATTTTTGCACGCCCGGTGGCTGGAATCGTATCACAGCACAAGATATTCTCTGGAAAACTAATTTACCTTTTTAGTGGTGCCGTAATTGCGAACGGACTCAGTAACCTGGTGTGTGCTGCCTCAGCATCCTTTTCATCATTTATAGTATATTGTTGCTTGTATGCTATCTCTATGAGTGTAATTGGTGCTCTGGTCTTCCATGTGTTGATGGACATAGTAGGAATGAAGAGATTCCCTGGAGCTTTTGGACTTTTTACCATTCTCGAAAGTGTTACAATCTTGATTGGCCCACCATTAGCAGGTAGGTGATGTTTTAGTAAACACTACTGTAAATGTAAAAATGTTTTGTCCCTGGAGTTCAGCTTTAAATGTATTTTAAATACAGTTTGTATAATGGATGGATTCACCTTTATATAAAAATCGTGTAAGCACCTACTGTATATTGCAACACCCAGACTGGGAGAGGGAAATCTGTGTCTGTCAGTCAAAAATACATACGTACAAGAAAATGTTCTCTTCCTCCTTCCTTGTCCAAGAGCTGTGACCAAAGAGGCAGAAATGTAGCAGCCATTTTTTCTTGCAGTCACTTGTCAGATGGGTGAGTACCATTTCCCGGAATTCAGGAGGAGAAGGTTGTTGTATTGTGGGCAATAAAAGATGCTTAGAGTTCTAAGAGTAAAATAACTGAAATTCAAATTTTTGCCTGGACTCCTGCCCCCAGATTTGTAGATTAACTTTCTCCAGCATGACAGGTCCTCTGTTGTGAGATTCAATTACAGTAATTAATAGGGATGCACCGATATATCGGCCGCTGATACATATCGGCCGAAAATGGCACTTTTGGCATAATGCCAAAAGTGCCATTTTCTGGCCGATACAGCGGTGCATCAGTTCTTTCTCTCCTCCCCACTGGGCGCTGCTCTGTCACAGGCGGCCGAGCGCTGCGGGAGGACAGCGCTGTGAGCGCCCGGCGTCTCTCCTCCCACACCAATCAGCCTCCTGTCACAGATCGGCAGAGCGCCGTGTGGGTGGTGACAGCCAGCACTGTCACAGGAGGCTGAGCTCTCCTCTCGCTCCGCTCGCTCAGCCTCCTGTTACAGCGTGTCAGGAAGCAGAGCGAGGTACAAACACTCACCGATCAGTGATCACTGAGTGTTTGTAGATAATTTAGGACATAGTATGTTTACTATAGCCTCAATTATGTATGAATGGGAGTGATCTACATCACCTCCTGTTCATTCATGATTGTGGTTATATAGTAAACACACAATGTTCTCATGTTATGAATGAACAGGAACACTCAGTATAGAGGATTCCTGTTCATTTATAACAGGGGCTGCAGAAAAAGAGATTGAGGACTCTGTGTTCTCAATCTAATTTTCTATTTGAAAAGGGAAATATTAGGGGTCTTTTCAGACCCCTGATATTTCCCTGAAGCCCTAAAAGTAAAGTAAACATTAAAAATATTTAACAAAAAAAAATGTATTAAAAATAAATAAAAATAAAATATAAAAAACATTGAAAAAGTTAAAATAAAAACATTTTCGGTTTCGGCCTGACATTTTTTTTATTTCGGTTTCGTTTCTGAAATTTTTATTGTGGTGCACCTCTAGTAATTAACAATTCCAAATTCATGTCTGGTGTATAACAAATGCACTTTAAAAGCAATTCATTTTTCCTGCATACACCTGAAGGCATTCCTCAAAAAAAATAAATGTTAACTAAATAAAAAATAATAATGTACACGGTGGATAAGTCTTTATTAGTAATTAACGCTTAAAGTGACATTAAACCCCCTTAGATTTTTTAACATAAACCAATACTGTAATGTGTGCCTTACTGTAATCCATGGTAGTTTCCCTTCTCTTTGCTGCTCTTCCTTTTAAATCCTCATGTCTTCTCATGCTTGGGGAGAACTTCCCTTTACAGCTCAGGGCCTCTTCCTGTAGTGCTGGCTCAGATTACAAACCTATACACAGACACCATGTATCCATTCCTGAGACAAGGCAGTCTGCTGCAAAACAGAAGTTCTGCCCAGCATGAGAACAGATACAGATTTAAAAGGAAGAGCAGCAAAGAGAAGTGAAACAACCATGGATTACAGTAAGGCACACATTACAGTATTGTTTTATGTTAAAAAATCTGAGGGTTTAATGTCACTTTAAGGAGTATCTCACCATTGTCAGCAAAAATGAAATTCCTATTGCAAGGGATGCCTAAAATTGTACTAAAATTGTATCTTAGTTCAGACTTCTGGGAAAATCAGTCAGCCAATCACAGAAGCAGGAAATTACATTTCTGGGGGTGTTCTGTACACAACCTGTTTTCAGAACTCCTCCAAGTCACCATATTGCATTGAATTATTTTGACAGTTTTAGAACATTACAGCAGCTACAGTTTTACATAGAAAGGTCATTTTTAATAACGTTAAATTACAAAATGGCCTTTCTGACAATATTATATGTTATATTCATTTTTTAAGATGTTTCATTTCTATTAGTTTAAAATGGAGTTACCCTTCAAGTTCTTTTGATGACATTGTTGTTGTGTCCTCTATTTCTGTAGGTTTCCTTGTAGACATCACTGGAGAATATAGTTATGTGTTCTACTTCAGCTGCATTGCTGTGTCCTCATCCGGACTTTTTATGTTCCTGGCCTCCTACATCATTGACAGAAAGGAGGCACAATCCAATCCAAAACCTGTCAACATATCAGACGGAAAAGACAAGGACGATCACAAAAACGTTATCTATCGACCCGCAAAGCAGGAGACTGCTGCATAAGGGAACTTGGTATAAAAACTGTTGCGTTCTGCAGAGTCTGCGTAGATTCTATGAAGAGGAATCATGGTGGACGATGTAACTTCAGCACTTTCAGCGAGTACTGGGAGTAGATAGTCACGGTTGGCCTCTTTATGGGCTCAGCACAATACCTCAGCTCCAAGGGAGTAAAGATTGTTTAGAAGAAAAACGTTCGGATGACTTTCGGTATAAACGTTTGGTAAATAAGAATTTCTCCTGACCTCCGAACTTGGCCAAGGCTTTATATTGCTGGATGATGTTACAAATTTCTGATTTAAACCTGCACTACTTAAGTAACATACATTGGTATGGTTAAAACGTAGAGGGGAAAAAAAATATTCGAAGCTGAACTCCGGGCAGATATTAAAACAACAAGTTACATATTTGTTCAAAATGATTTTTTAAATGTAACCCATATAGATACCTGAATTTGCCTTGATTTCAGCCTCCTATCCCCTGAGTAGGAGTCAGTCAGGTGCCCTGCACTCACATGTGTTGATCAGGAACATGCTGACTGGAGCAATGAGATGGCCTTATCTGTGTTTTTCTGCTCCTTCACTGTCCAACCACAGGCCTGGGGGCAGGCAGAGGTGTAGCCATGTTGCTTAGTTAGTGCAGTAAAAATTCAGGTCACCAGGCTGGCTGTGCTGTGTGGTAGGCCTTAATATAATTTAGGACTAGATGGACAGGTAATAGTAGGCAAGACATATCTACATAGTCTACCTAATCTGTGCAGTTAGCAGTTTGCTTAGAATTCAGCTTTAACATAACAATCAACAAGCTGACCATGGCATCCACAGCTAACAGTAAATGTAGCACATGGATTATGGTATATAGCCTGTTTATTCCAGTCCCGAGAGTCTGATACTGCACATGGCCTGGGGTATGGACTGAGCATAAAAGCTGAACCCTCCTGTACTGAAATCACTTACTTTGATTTAACTGCACACTGTGAGCTTCTCACATTGTGCATTAAAAGCTGCAGCTATTAAAGTCCACCTCATTTCCTCACTGGAGCACATTCATGTAGCCCTTTCCTCCCCAGTCTGACTATCCCTGGTCTGGCCCTTTAAATTCAACATGGAGGCTCAGCATCACACATGGTCGTTCCTCAGGGTTATTCCCTCTCTTTAAAGGGATTACCTCTCACTTCCTGTTTTGGCTACTGGACAGGAATTTAAGGGAAATTTCCCCAATGGGACACAGGTGGCAAAAAAAAAAAGCTAACTGGGTTATAACCCTCCTTTAAAAAAAATGGCATTAGCTCTACTTTAAACCTAAACTTTAAGTGAAAAGCTGTCCATATATAAAATACTATGCAATCTCTTACTATGTAACATGTAAAGATACCAAATATGTATTGCAGATTTCTTGCAAAGTTTGCAATTGACTGCTCAGGACAAAATGTTCAGAATATATGAGATACAACTACAGGTAAAAATGGACCAGTATTTGACAAAGCACAGAGAGCGGAGGTATTAGGTACAAGACATGAGCATAGATGGTAGCAGGACAAGAAATGGTGGAATGTGATGGAACAGTTTGTAATCCTTTCCTACTCTACTGAAAGAGTGTTTTATGTTTTATTTGCTGTCACTTTCCCCATTGGGGACATTTCCATTCACTTCCTGTCACCAGATCAGCGAGTGAGCAGACATTTCCACAATGGGGTCACAGACTGCAATGTAAATGACAGATACTCGTAACCCCTTCCCGCTCTTTCCTGAATGAAAGAAATGCATTGGCTGGAGTTGGACTTTAAGACTGTGAATGAAATGAAAACCGATTCTACTGTAAAACTGGTGCTTAGCAACGGATCTCAAAGGTAATTCCTATGGAATAAAAACACTCTGGGAAATGCATTAAGTCAAACTGCATCGTTCACTCTGCATCATTAGCTTTATAAACAGCAAAGCTGCTCTCAGAAGGCCACAAAGGGGTTTCCACCATAAACACGAAAAAGGACAACCCGTCTTTGTGGGAGACATTCCAGTCAGCATGGCATGCCCCTTAAGCCTCAGGACCCCATTAATCAGCGGTTTCTGAGCACATATGAAATTCACGCAGTGTGGGGCTCCCTCAGGACCCCACCTTCTCTGTTTGACTCTGAAACGTCTCAGCCAATCAGCTGCAGTCACTGTTCGGGCATTCTGACAGAGGCACACCCACTGCTGTCAGGACACAGTAGCCCAATGGCGGGGGGTTTCCCCTTCCACGCTAAACAGTTCAGGCCTCAGGACCAAGATATTTAGTACAATAAAACACTGGTCTTGAAGCCATAGGCTTCTGAGAACTGTGCAACTGCAAAATCAGTGAGAGTCCTGTGGCGATGGGAGGGGGTTCTTGTTGAATGAATAAACCCCTTTCATTTTTGAGACTTAAAGGAGAAGTATTGGATGAGTAAAATATACACTTTTTAATACATAGAGCCAAAGTGGGACACTGCAGCTGTAGATATCGCTATATTCTATATACCGAGAGCTGAGCGATCACAAACCACTGACGGTCTCCTCCCTGCAGAGAGCAGTGACCATTACTCACTGCTCTCTGCAGGGATTCCCTCCCTTTTCTGTTCCTTCAGCATGCATTGGAGGGACAGGCAGGGGAGGGGGCGGGCACAGCTGGCTCTGGCTCTAGAGAGGCAGAGCTCGCTGTCAATCAGGCAGCGGGGTGGATCTAACTTTGCAAGAGAAAAATAATTAGATACAACAGAGACTGTTGATAAGAACTATAAACGTGATTTACAAATCTGTCTGTAGCGTACATTTTTATTTGTATGCCAGCTTTTTACCCCCTTGCCAGCCCTTTAGTTGGGTTTTAAAGTCGGGAGTCCTGACCCTGTAATTGCTGTGATTGTCAGTCACAGCCATCACATGATCGGGAGCCGACCCTCCAGCTCCTGATTGTTTATGGTGACTGGGAACTGTCCGACAGGTCGGCCCCTTTTTCTTGGGGTGCACAGTGTGCGCAATCTCAGCACACACAGTGGTTCTCCAAGGATGCATATTTGTGGCAAACAACGTTAAGGCCCAATGGCCATGCTGATGGATATACAGTATGCGTTATGCCGGTGGGAGGTGGTTAAGAAAAAATGGAGAGAACCCAGACTTCATAAAGTTCACTGAAACAGCCTAAGGCCATTAAGTTGCCTCTACGACAGGTGATCCGTACCGGAATGTGTAACTGTTGAACAAAAAAAGACATTTATAAATAAGCATTAGTCTACTAGCTACATGTTTTGCTGATCATACCTATGAAGAATGCAATCATCCCCTTATTTATTTTGTGATACTGTAGAATATAATATTGATAGTGCACTACTAAAAATGAGATATAGATTTCAAGCATACATTGCACATCCATCCATATAAATGGGTTTTATTATTGAAGAAAACAATTGTTAAAAAGGTCCAGAAGAATTTCCATTACATTGTCAGGTGGTGCCTGGTAGTTAAAGGGTTACCTACTTAACCCCTTCGTGACGGTAGACGTACACTGTACGTCCCGCCACGAAGTGCCCAAATGACTGGCCACGTACACCATACGTGACCAGTTATTTGCGGCTCTGTAATGCTGGTAATCGCTGATTCTCAGCGGCTACCATTCATTAATGAATGCCTCAGTATTGAGACATTCATTAATGAAATAGTTAAGCTTTTGTAAAAGCTCCTTTCTTTCATGAATGAAAGAATGAAGCCGTTACATACAAATACCGGATCGTTATGATCGTTAAATAGCGATATTTGACGCTAAATAGCGTATTTGACAGCTAAGATAGCAGAGAGGTAGCAGAGTGAGTCACCTCTCTGCTATTTGTCTTGACAGCTAGGATGTTTTCAAAGTTGTGTGATACATTTCAGGCACAATGTTACAATGTGTCTCTGTGTCTGAAATGTATCACTTCTGATTGTCTGGGCACGATCAGAATCCTTTAGTGAGATCTGATTCTGACATGAGGTCAGGATCAGTCTTTAAGGTTATTATTAGCTGTTCCTAAGTTTGGAGCAGCCTAAGGCCCCATTCACACCTATGCGTATTGTAATATGCGCGTCTGTCGCGCGACCGTCACGCGTTTTTTTTACCGCGGTAAAAAAGCCGCGCGACCGTCGCGCGATTCCAAAGGCTACTTGGCAGTATACTAATGGAAAACGCCCTACAAAACGGACCAATACGCAGCAAAAAACGCTCCGGGACCTTTTCATGCGTGGGCCGTTTTGTAGTGCGTTCGGGACGGGCGAAAATACGGACAGGTGGGAACGAGGCCATTGACTACAGTGCTATTTATTTTTTTTACCGTTTTGTAGAGCGTTCATCGAGCGTAGGACGCGCTACAAAACGGTCAGGTGTGAATGGGGCCTAAAAATAATTAATTGACAAAAAGAAAAAAGTGAAAAAAATAAATAAAAAAAAGTGTAAATAAAATTAAGAAAATAAAAATTATATATGAATATATTTTTATATTATAATTATTATACAAATTATTATAAAAAATCATTTCTAAAAAAATAATAATAATCTAAACTTGTGAAAAAAGTGTGTTCTTCTCATTTCTTAATATTTTGTTCGAAACTAAGTGAGGCGTTAGGTACACATGTTTGATAGAATTATATAGCCCTATCTGTGCTCTAAACAATATATAATATGTGCGTGGACATTTAGTAAGAAAGTATATTACTGCCATGGAAGAATCACACAGCAAAAATGTAAAAAGTGTGTCAGTCACTTACGAACAGAAATTGAAATAAAGCTCAGTCATGAAGGGGTTAAAGCAAACCTGTGCATTGCCCATGCAGAATAAAGCAGCAGGTACGCTTCTATGTCCCAGGAGATCTGAGTAGCCAGCGGGTAATTTGGCCCGCTGGCAAGTATCAAAAACTGCAATATTGGTTTTATAGTGGCCACAGAGTATAAGCTGTAGGTGAGCAGGCAGTTATGTGAACCTGTTGCTTTGCCTCACATGGGTTCACTTTAAAGAAGAACTCCTTAAGGAAAAATG